AACTAAGCAAAGTATTAAGAAAAAAAAAAGAAAATTTAGTTAGAAACAAAAAATAGAGCGCTGAACATAATATCAAACCTCCTATATAGCTGTGAATGTTGTACAATACGGTTTCCTCACAGATGAAGAGAAGACTTGAGTCAAGAGATATCTGGTTCTACAGAAGGATACTGAGAATAAAATGGTCGCTGCAAATGAGCAACGGGGAAGTTTCCAGAAAAACGAAAAAAAGACGAATGTTTATACCTAGAAAAAGACAGCTGAAATTTCTAGAAGACATAATAAGGAAAGTGGGCTTGGAGAATTTGATACTCACGGGGCAGACTGAAGACAAGAGGGGAATAGGGAAACAGCCAGTGTAAATCGTTTGCGAAACAGGTAATTAATGGAGGGAATGGTGAAAAGACAAACCATACTAATAGCTAGGATAGGAAGTTGTGAAGAGCCATGATCACCGCCGTTCTGGGGAAGACATAGAAGTATAAGTATTTGTAGAATTTATTTCTCCTGTCAAAAATTCTACCATGGTAAATAAACAGAAATAAAACTCGGACATGTGATAAACAACATTTATGCAAATTTAAAAATATTTCCTAATTTAATAAACCTATCTTTACTTGGACTGTATTTACTTTTACTAAAATGTTTTCATGTTGAAATAATGTAAATATAACTTTTATGTAATTATCATCTCTCTTAGCTTCATAAACCCTAAGAAAAAGGCTGTTTGATGGTAATTACGTTTTACAGGTTTTTAAATTAAATTCTTTGCCGTCTTAAAACGGGGAAAATGACACACCCACAATTCGGTTGATGCACTAAATGTAGATTTAATTAATTAGTAATATTTCAATTTATTAATAATTCAATTTTCTATTTCTGTTCCTTCATAATTCACTTTCGTAATATTTCAATTCATTTATAATTCAAATTCAATAATATTGCAAATCGTTCATAATTCAATTTGAATATTTCAATTCGTTCGTAATTCAACAGCAATAATATTTCAATTCATTTTTAATTAAACTTCAATAATATTTAAAATCGTTCATAATTCAACTTCAGTAATATTTCAAATCATTAATAATTCAACTTCAATAATATTTCCATTCATTTATAATTTAATTGCAACAATATTTCAATTCTTTCAAAATTCAGCTTCAATTCATTAGTAATTTAACTTCGATAATATTACAATTCGATCATAATTCAACTTCAATAATGTTGCAATTCCTTCATAATGCGTCTTCAGTAATGTTTCGATTCTTACATAATATTCATATTTCATTTTTTCGATTTTCCAAAAGACTATGAAAAAATTGCCCCCTTCCGTCAGCGACTGATCCATAAAATATCTAATATAAATACAGCAACTAGATGCCCATTCACAGCATGTAATGTACAGAGATTCGAAATACGGTGTGTAGGGGTAGCTGAGATACGGAAGATTATCTGAAAGTACCTTATTTTTTATAATTATTTCCTTATATTAAAAAGTTCGGGCTTTTTTTTTTCTTCCTGTCTATGATTTTAGCTGAAATGTTATTTTAACTGTATAATACGCCAAGTGCATCTGTCTAGTTTTATCTCATTACTATTAACACCCTTTTTAGTGTGTACCAGTGTTTGGGTTGATATCCTGTTTTTATTTTCTTAAACAGTGAAACGAATGTCAAACCAACCTGGATCGAGAGGCCCCTCTAAAGAAAAATGTACCTCCCGGCAGAAACCTGTATCCCCCCTTTTTTTAATTGGAAGCGCGTGTCGTTACCAATTAGGAGACCAAAGACCGTCATGGCAAAGCAAGACCTTATAAGCCGCTTAAGAAATGCCCATTTGAGATTTCTTCAAATCTACAGGGTGATCCGAAAGTCTTGTCGCCCCTACTTGATGTAATTTTCTATTTCAGATCGCTGACACGAGATCCTACAGTTAGCTAGAGAAACCTTCTTGATATGTGACAGCATCAAGTCCAGTACATTTACTCCATGTATAATCTTTATCTGCTGTAGTCGTGATCGTTCTTGTTAGCAAGAATTGAGGAATTTAGAATGGGCGAAGGCCTCGTTACACAATAACCAGATAATTTCATCTTTTTCCACGTTATTTTTAAGATGTCTCTTGAGTGTTTCAAGTTAATTATCCGCTGATGATAGATAATTATAATTCAGTTCGTCTGGGCCACTTTAAATGAAATTAGAAAGGTTATTTTATGCTATCGTCACTAGACTGGAAAAATCCTATTTTATACAGACCAAATCGCGATGTTTGAGTCGCAGAATTAATTTAGTAATTGGATTGGTTTTGAGTTTGAGATAATATACCAAATAATACGGTTAGCTGAATAAAATAATTGCGAAAAATGTAAGCGTAAGACTCGATTTAGTGTATAATTTGGACTCGAAATTATTTCCATTAACAACTCAGACATCTACCATGGCTTGAATTCGTGTTTCTCCGTGTTTTTATCAGGTCGACCGGTGGTTGGGGAGAACCACAC